TCAGAAAATCCTGAAACACTGTGCAATGATCAGGGGCGTAGCTACCGCGGTATCAATGATACGGGGCCCCCGGCTAGGGGGGGCCCCCGATTGGCTTAGACATGCGTAAGCAAAAAATATATTACCCACATGTTAAAAAAATTGAGGCATCAAATTAAATAAATAAATAATATTATTATTTAATCATTTATTCTTCGATTTATTAAATTAATAATTTTCCCGAGGCCGTTAACTCATACAAAATGAGCTCTGCAGGGCATACTGAGTCTGCGTTGGGTGTTATTATCATAGGTTATATTAATAGCAAATTAGAAATAATTATTAGCGTTACAATTATTTCAAATGACTTGCCTTTATTTTAAAATATAAACCTTTTAAAAGATGTTGAAGAACGGTAAATGTCAACAACCAGATCAAATTTTAAAATTTGCCTGTACATAAAAAGCTATGTATACATGAGTGAATATATTGAGATGTCCCCAAGTAAAAATGATTATTTTTTATTTGTTAGTCTAGAATGGGGTTTTTGGGAAGCCACCAGGTCTAGTAATAACATATCATAAGTGGTTCTGCACTTATGCAAGAATTTTAAGAAATCATACATTTTGAATATTAGAGCTTCACGGAAGGTAGCTTCACGGAGGTTAGGATTTCGTTTTTTTTAAACCTTTGTATATTTGAAATAAGTTATTGTATCTTTTGACACCTTAATATTTTTAAAAAATACAGTTGTACATACATAAAATATTTATAAAAAAATCTACATACTGAGATATAACACTTCACGGTAGATATGTTTTTAAATAGCAAATTAATGAACTTAAACTTTTGAATTATAAAACAGCAACACTCTCATCTGCATATAAGTTCTAACTGACCTTCAGGAATCACATGCATCTATAATGTCGTAAACAGAGGTTTAGAGGTTTTTGCTAATTTAAAATGATTAAAGCGCCATCCGTTGCATAAAATTTAAAGCAAAATCAGATTCACGGAGGATAGAATCAATTTTTGTAAAACGTACATAAATGGTTATAAAAATAATTTCTTTTAATTTTTAATAATATTTTATATTTGATTCGATTGCTTTGGATGTGTTTAATTTACATAGTGAACTGATATTTTTAATATGCTTTTACTACCTCAGATATTTGAAAACATATAGGTTAACCTAGAAAGTTACGGAGGATAGGTTTTAGACTTTTAAAACATTGTAAAAAATAATTAATTTCGGTTAAAAATCTGGAACCTGAGCTGTAATATCTACTTTATTATGAAAGATCAAAACAGAATTAAAGTGTAGGTCAAACTCATTTGGATTTATTTAATATCACGGGGTAACACCATCGGGGGACATTTCGTGAGATTCACCCACATATATTATTTATTAAATTATAAAAATTGGTAAATGCAAAAAAATAATACCCTAAAAAATTTTTTGTCAGCACCTTTTCCGGTATAAGGGCCCTACCAGATTTTTGATACTAGGCCCCCTCGAGGCTAGCTATCCCACTGGCAATGATTTTAATAATTTTTTAGTAAAGGCTGCCCCTAACCTAATTAGGAATATGCAAAGTGAAGATTTTAAATGCTATGTTAAACATAACCCCAGATCTATGTATGTAACTCCAGTGACTGTCAATGAAATAATAAATGTTTTTAATAATCTTAAAAATAAGTTCAGTAGTGGTGCAGATGAGGTGCCAACTGCTGTCATTAGAGACTGCATTCTTGAGATCTGTGAACCCTTGGCATATGTTGTGGGCAACTCTTTGAAGTATGGTGTCTTCCCTGACCAACTGAAGACTGCTGTTGTTAGCCCAATATTCAAAAAAGGCGATCCTAAATTGATGAACAATTACAGACCAATAAGCTTACTATCTTCCTTTTCCAAAATTTTTGAGACTGTTATGTGTACTAGATTGGTAATTTTTTTTACATCTAACAAGTTGTTGAATCAAAATCAGCACGGCTACTTGAAGGGTAGGTCAGTGGATACAGCAGTGCATAGCTTCTTGCAAAAAATATTTGACAGCTTTGAAGACAAATACCTATTACTGGGACTATTTATTGATTTGTAAGAGTAAGAGGCTGTGCATTGAGGTGGTCACAGTCCTATTTGACAGGTAGAAGCCAAAGGGTTAGATTGGTCAAGGATGGTAAAAGTTTTGGTTCTGAGACACAGCACATAAGTCTGGGGATCCCACAGGGAAGCACCATAGGGCCTTTTTTGTTTCTTATTTACATAAATGATATTGAGAATGTGGTCTCTAGTGAAAATCAGGTCATGGTCAACTTTGCAGATGACACAAACTTGCTTGTAAGGGGACAAACTTACCCATATGTACTGGCAGAGATTGGAAATTTGATGGAAGCTACTGAAAGGTATTTTTTATGAATAGGCTAAAAATAAATGCTGATAAAACAAATTGTATTCTGTTTAAAAAAGTTCAAGATCAATTGACCACTCCAGCTAGTGCAAAAATAAACCAAAATAGAATAAATTTTACATCTGCGACTAAATTTCTTGGATTACATGTAGATGAACATCTAGATTGGTGTTTTCACACAGATTTTTTATGTAGCAAATTGAATGGGGTAGCATACTCGCTACGAGTTTTAAAAAATTACCTTGATAAGTCAACACTAATGGTAGTGTATTTCTCAAATTTCCAATCTCTGCTAAGGTACGGGATTATTTTTTGGGGAAGAAGCAAAAATATCAAAAACATTTTTGTCACACAGAAACGTACAGTTAGAATTATTAATAATAAAAAAGTGACATGTCCTGTAGAGGTTTGTTTAAATCAAGTAAAATATTGACAGTTACTGGGTTATATATATATACGAACTACTGATTTTTATGTTTAAAAACAAGCACTTGTTTGAACAACTTAAATCTAGTCGAAACACAAGAACGCACTGTTACCTGTATCCTAGTCATAGATTAACCATATATGAAAAAAGTTGTTTTTATTCATGTATTGTCTGTTATAATATATTACCAACTCGTCTTAAGACTGTTCAAAATTTTAATAGTTTTAAATCAAATGTTTTTAATTATTTAGTTGAAATGGAGCCATATGATCTCAATGAATTTTTAACATATTAGCTCTATACTTTTCTCCTGTGACAATATTTTCAATATTTTTGTAATTTACTTTAAATGTACAAATTATCTTTAAATAAATAAATATTATTATTATTATTATTATTATTATTATTATTATTATTATTATTATTATTATTATTATTATTATTATTATTATTATTATTATTATTATTATTATCCTTCGTAGAATTCCTATCCAAAATCACACCAATTCGAAAAAACCTGACTTAAGCTCCAAAGCAGACCGACGTCATTGCACGTGGTGTCAGAACTTTCCGTTCCTAAACAATAAAATCCATTATTTTCCCTAGCTAATCAATCAGTTGACACCACAAACCAAGCCAAGACACTCCACCTTCTTCGACCATTCTCTTGGGCCGCGACACCCAGCTTCACCGCTGTTACTTCATTATTGACCTTTGTAAATAAATATTAACGTACTACGAACAATACACGTGTTTAAATTTACAAAAAAATCTTCGCAGGGAATATTATTAGTACCTAATGACTACTTTGATTGATATATTTAAATTTAAATTCTATGACCAAGTTAAAAATGGTCAACGTGATGTTTTTTTTTTTAATAAAAGTTTGATTAATTGCATTTATATTTTCTTTAAGCCTTACTTTAGAAAAAAATAGATTTAAAGTTTTTAAATAGCTTTTTCTAGTGGGATAAGTAGGGACCTCATGATAGTACGTAGGTTACGTAAGTATTTCAGAATAAATTTTAAAAAATTCAAACAAAATTTTAACTAATATCAGTTACAATACTTAACCTTAATTTAATTAAATGTTAAAATATAAATCGATGATTAAATATTGTATTAATTAATTTTACTTGATCAATTAAATTAAATATTCCTTAACAAATAACGTTACAGTAGTATCCGCTTATAACGAACCGTAATGGACCATTAACTATAGTTCGCTTCAAGCACTTTGGTTCGTAGATACTATTTGAGTTGGTTCGTTTTAACCAAAAGTTCGCTATACCGGGTTTGTAATAACCGGAAATATGGTAGGTATGTATTAGGGTGCTTCTTAAAAATCGACATTCAAAAAATTAACGGGGCACCCTGTCATTCGGTTCTCCAAAGCAAAAAAATAATACGATTTTTTCCTTTTTTCTTTTCAATAAGTTTTAGAGGTCGCTACCGCGTTTCAAAGTTTAAAAATTTTAGGGTCAAAGATTAAATGAGGCATTTCGCAGATTTATGTATTTAACTACAAAAATTATTCAATACTTGAACATTCTACCTGATGTTTGTCGCGCGTCACCCTTCCTTTGGTTCCACGCAACCGCATGCCTGTGATTGAACCGCCTAATTAGTGAGCTTTTTGCTGCGACGGCAAGTGCGCGTTATACAAAAACAGATCTTACGTTTATTAATTGCACAGCGCCAAAAAGGGCATCCTGGTCATTTTGGACATTTAGATGTGAAATATGCCAAGAACAGCGACAACATTTTCGTGATCGGGAACAGAAGAAGCTTCAGTATTAACCGAAAAGTGTGTTCTTTCTTCGTTAACGACAAATAAGAGCTCAACATCTACATCTGATATTTCAGATACAGTACCTGCGGAATTCGCCATACCAGGACCGTCAACAGCCGGAATGCCTCCGCGTAAAAGATGTAGAAAAAAGTTCGTCTTCCAATATTAGTATCGGGTTAAGGCGTCGACCAATTACTTGCTGTGCCTAAACTGCCGAGAGCATCAGCGTCAGCCATTTACGATGCCATTACCGCATGGAATCTAGGCAACCAAATAAAAGCATGTGCTTCGATACAACTGCAGTAAATACCGGCCAAAGAAATGGAGCTTGCATTATTCTCGAACAAAAAATGGAAAAGGATTTGCCTGTCGTCATCACATTTTCAAGATTATGCTCGAAGCAGTGGTGATTCAGGCTATAGGACAGTCGAGTGGTCCAGAAATTTTAATATTCAAAAGATTTAAAAACTCTTGGTCCAATATTAAAAAAGAATCTTTCGACAATGTTTATTCCGATGTTTTAGCTTTCAATGACATAGAAAACGTTGCTGCCGAGTTAATTACATTTTCTCAACAACAACTTAAGAAATACCAGCCTATAGATGACTATAAAGAGCTTCTCATCTTTTTTGGGAGCAGACCCAAAACAGGAACATCTTTTAGGGATCCTGCCGGACTTCATCGCGCGAGATAAAAATATTTCTGTTCCGGAAACAATTTAAATTGAAAAAGAAAGAAGAAAACGGGATAAGAGAAATTTGCGTTTTTACTGTTAAGGTTTATTTGCAGCATTGGTTTCAAGCACCTTCAGCATGTTATGCACCAAGAAATGATTTGCAGTTCCTAAAGGATCAAGGCCCTTGTGCAGTCTATAAAGGTTGTAAATAATATTGCAGAGCGAGGGGTGGCTTTGATTGAAGAGTACAATAAATTACATACAACGGATGAAGACCAAAAACAATATTTACTTTTGTTAGTGAAACAATATCGTCAAAAGTATGCAAATACTAACAAATCTACATTATTAGCCTGGTTTTAAATACATTAATTGCTTTTGGCAAATTTATAAAGAGAATAAACGGATTAAAAAAAATTAAATGAGTTTTTTAATAATTTGAACTTTAATTTAACATATTAGCGACGTCCAAAATTCTTAATATATTCATAAATTTTGAACGTCGGTAGCGACCCCTAAATATTTATTTAAAATTCTGAAAAAAATCCTGAAACCGTTTCTCGACACAAATAATCTAATGACCGGGTGCCCGCTTAAAAAATAAAAACAATTTTTTTTCATCCTATAAGAAGCACCCTAGTATGTATAGATTATAATAAAAAATGCAACTTTTTAAATCCATGGATGTATGCTTACACTCAAATAAAAAATAGATTTTTTAGTATATTTACAATTAAATTTTTCTTACATTTTTAATAAAACTTAGTCTATTTATTAATAACTGAATTTTTATATTATAAAATCATAAAAAATTGTTAAAACTGTACTATGTTCCACATAAAAAATTTCACTGACAATACAATTCATTAATATTAGAACCAATAAAATGCCAGTATTCCATAGTGACGTATTTTATCACAGCGGCAATAATTTTTATCATCTTGTTTACACGTTACTATGAATTTTGACGTTTTTTTGATTTGACATTTGTTGTCATTTAAATTCTGTTTTTGATATATATCAATAAAATAATGAATTATAAACTCTAAAAGATCGATGGGTTGGTGTAAACGATAATGAAATTAAGGTAAGTTTGAATAAATAAGGTTTATTAAAGTCTTTTTATATTTTAAAGCACATTTTAATTTCAAATGTCAAACTAAAAATTCGTTAAATCCTAAAATTCATTATATTTTCTCACTAAATATAACTCGTGGTATGATTAATTATCGATGATATTTACTCATTAAAACCGAAGCAGCACATTTCACTCGTCCTGCGGACTCGTGAAATCTGCAGCTCGGTTTTAATTCGAAAATATCATCGATGATAATCATACCACTTGTTATATTATGGGTGACAATTAAATAAGGAACGCAGTCGAATAATTAAGGTTATGTTTCTCAATTTATTGTTAATTTCGTCTTATTTTCTGAAAATAATACAATACATATATTTTTTCTATATATAAAGGTCTTAATTAGTATAGTAAAATATTTTTTTATGGTATAGTACATTCAGGGTTGCTATGTGTTTTCCATATTTGTTGTAACATAATAAAATCGTTAAGTGAAAAGTACTCCATATAAAAATATGACCTAAATCAATGTATTTCTTTTTTGGATTTTGACTGTCATATTTTTCGAACAGAAAAGTTTACATACTTTTTTCAGGCAGTGGTTAAATTGTTCTCTTTATGTCACATATGCATTGTCAGTTCCTGTCAATATATGACTTTCAGTCAGTTGTATATTCTGCAATGTTGAAAACTTTGTCCTTGACGCTATCATCATTTAGAATATATTTATTGTATTTAAGGTTATCGCTTTCATATTCATAAATATCTGAAGTTTTTAAATTTATTTATTAAGTTTGCTGAATTTTTTTCGGGTGCAAATTAAGCGCATTTATCTAAAAAGTATTATTTAGACCAACTATAAAATATCTAATACTACCAAATAACTTTAATGATACTTCAGTATTGTTATCCTTAAAACTAAAAACCGAATTTGAAACGTAAAAACAACAATAAGTTATATTAATATAACCCCCGTGCCGCCATGGTCCATTTTGAAAAAAATCCTTTTTGTTTGATTTAATTTGATTTGAAGGAGAGCCTCTGCAGGCCCACGTAGGCACACATACGGCCCATTGTGCACACCCCCTTTTGGTGAAGCCCTGCCTTACCTTAGGAGCCCGCAGCTTTTAAGAAAAGCGCTGGTCGAGCATGCATTATTTCCTCTTGTTCCAGATACCTTTCCCCGACGTGTCTTAGTCTGCTATTGACTAAAACGTTGCATTCGCAGACTGTATGCTAGGTAGTTTCGTCTACTTCGCTGCAGTACCCACAATCGATCTCGTTGGTAAGTCCGTTTTTGTGTAGGTGATATTTGACTAGATATGTTTACCCTAGAGATTTTCTTGGGAGCAGATTAGGATGGCATAGATTACAGTCTGGTATACCGTTAAGTATCGACCTAATGCAAGTTTATATTCCGGCTTCTCCACTTCATTCATTAGAGACTCGTCGATTTCATATCTTTTTAGTGGGGTTAACGTCTTTGGCATTGCATACGTTCTTGTGAGAAGGGGGTCCCGCTTGATAGTATCAGTCCAAACCCTTACAACCCTGACTTCTCCCCCCTGTGAGCCCATTGTCCCCAATCATTGAGTCTGACCGGAGCCTCCGGAGCCCGTGCCTCCAGAAAGAGATGTTGAGGCGTAATTCCCAGTATGACCTCCATTGCCAGTATTAAAGTGGTTATAAAAGCAGGCAAGTCGTTGGAGCTTGTCCAGCTTTTTCTTGTAGGTGGATTTGCTTAGCACATTACACCATACTAAACTGCCGTATGTGATCATCATATGGGGTTGTAAGACCCAGGTGCGTCCAATGGTTCTTGTGCATGCTCATAGGCTAGCAGTGGCCCTCTGGACGACCCTCTTGACGTGATCCTTCCAGCTCAGCCTGGAGGCAATGATGACTGATTTGAAGACCCTGAGGCCTTCTGGGTTACATTTCTTCGTTTGGTAAATGGTAAGTGGTCTTATCCCGATTGACGGAGAGTCCGTGATCGTTGCACCGCCTTTCGACCTTATTAAGTGTTTGGTACGCTTCTAGCTACGACAATGGATGCGAACTAGCCCATACAGCACTAGGCACTAGAGCAATGTTTGAGCTGATCTCCCTAGTTCCAATCGAGCTTATAATGATCCTGCTTTAAAGCATGACCCGGATCCATTTGATAATGGTATTCTCTATGCCAAAGCCCTCTATTATTATTTATCGACTCGAAGAAGGTATTGTTAAATGCCCCTTTAATATCTCGTAACGTGCCCAGAGCCATCTCTTTAGGACGGGTCCCTCTCTCCGGTCTTGTCACAAGGCTGTGAAGAGGGTCTTGGTCGACATAGCTGTTCTGTAGGCGTGTTGATTAGGATGCATGGCCAATATTTTTATTATATATATATATATATATATATATATATATATATATATATATATATATATATATATATATGTTCACCAGGTTATTCATAGTTTTTAAAAGAAACGAGGATAGACTGATGGGTCCATAATCCTTTGACGTTTTGTAGTTACAACATCCTGGATTGGGGATGAACACCACTCGTGCAAGACAAGCTCTGAAGGGACGTATCAAGTGCAGGGTCCGTGGTTTTAACTCCTTTTGTAAGAGAGCCAGAAAGATGTCATTCAACTGCCTCCTCCGCTGTGGTGAGCCTGCGTGTTTCCTTGCAAACCTTATTGAGGTCAGAATTCCACGAAGGGGTTTTCTTTTTTTTCTCGATAGACCCGAAGCTGGCAGCTTCGTTTGTACGATGTGATGATTGCATCGCGTACGAATTGGGTTGGTCCCAATTCGTGATCCGGGGGCTCCTAAACCCCAGCCTCGTGAGTAAGGTCTAAGCTAAAGAGTATCTGTGATCCGATAGAAACGGCTCGTCAGACACCTTCCAGTTGCTTGTCATCGGAGCCATGGAGAGGAAGCCCAATGTCAAGTTTATCACCTCTTGTCTTCGTGACTTTGTAATGGGTCTAAATTTATGAACGTCTATAATCAAAATAAAACTACATACCTTAACATTATTTAAATGTAAGTATGTACTTTATGTTGTGAATTGTGTTTGTCTCGGGGTCTCCAAAGCAACAATGATGTGTTAGAATCCTATAATAAAGAGAAACAGTATTTTAAAGCATAAAACATAGATTTAATCAATTGTTGTTTTATATAGCTTACGACATTGCCAAACCTTTAACAATTCGAGATATTAATAGATTAGTACAATGTTTTCAATCCACTACTCCATATTAAGATTTACATGATTTAGAAGAAGAATGGTATGCGAATGAACGATTTTTTATCCTTTGTACTGGAAGAACAGTTGGTAAAGGAACAAAACCGTACGCGGCCCAAAAGAGTCTAACTAGCTTTGACCAGCTATGCGGCAATATTTCAGAAACAATTGGTTTTTTACTTTACGCCAGTAGAAGGCAAACAATATTGCAAAGACTGAAATGCCTTCCATCTCGGCCACCGAGCCGGGCTCGAAGCGTGTCTACCGAATGGTATGATCCAATGACTAATGCACCATACCCACCAACACTGACAGACATACTGTTTCGACCTGTTAGGTCTCATCAGTGTCAGGCAGTCAGTGACGGAAGACACGCATTAAGCTCGGCACTGTTTACTTATAAAGAAAAAAACGACCAGGATAGCGGCGAGATGTATCGGCAAGTCAGTCTGGAGACATCTGACGTCTAAAGACGTGGCCTCGCTGTGCGAACAATTATTTGTCCTGTTTAGTAATGCGCATGCGCTTTTTTTTATTAATCGCTTAAGCAGTGTTGCCGTTTGCGTGTATTTTACTCAAAATTCGGATATTTTCATCTTGTTTGCGACTTAAATATTAAATGGGTAAGGCGCAAATTTAGATTAAAATACTAAATAAAGAAATTTTCAGTAAATAATATATACCTTTTTACTAAATATACATCA